CGAGTTTCCCATTCGCCCGAAGAAACCTGTCATTAACGTAACGAACGATTCTTGTTGTTCACCGCGGCGAAAGCGTTTATTTCCACGTGGCACTAAATCTAAGCTTGCTTTAGGAGAGCGAGGTGCGGTAACAACGGTGTAGCTCGAGGAAACAATCCCATGTTTTCTTTTGCTCGTGGCCGAGTAAGCCGATGCCCCGAGCCACTAATCACAAAGGAATTACTCGTCGGAAAAAGCCCTCTTTAACCGCGAAAGATTCTGCGCTACGCTGGATATCCGATTCTTTCGATTCGCCGTAAAACGAGTGTTTCTAACATTATTTAGGCGCGAATCATAGTACGCGGATCATCGCAGGCACACATGGACGACTAACGAGAATTCGACGTTCGTCGCGACTCATTGATTTACGAGTGTCGTAAAGCGGACTGCCACTTGTGTAACAACATAAGTCTCGAAACGGTCGCGAGTAAGCAATGCTCCGGTGGAGCTTCTCGGAACAAGTTAGGAGAATTGTCAAAGGCGATGGCTCGCCGAGACAAACGGACTCGGGGACGCCAACGACGGAGGTCAGGTCGTCGCTTAAGTGCCTCGTATTTGGCCTCGTACGAGATCGTTCCGTTCCGGAGGGTCGTGCTCCTCTCGTAACTCCAGCCGAAAGCAATAGCCCCCCCAAATACATTACATGTTCAGTTTACGGACGCGAAACGCGAATCGCGAGCGATTGTATGAGGCCCTCTCTCCGTTTACACATAGACATCTCGGAATGAAACAAGCCGCCCTCTCTGCCCCGCGACCTGAACTATGAACTATGCCCATTCTAGACGGACCCTTGCGGATCGCGAGATGTATCTGCTAATTGATTTGGCCGACCGATTCCGCGCTATCGGCTGACATTATCGTATATAGGCTAAAGCGGATCGACATCTCGAGTGGAGGGTATGCTTGATTCATGGACACACGATATTGTTCTCGATCGTGTCGTCACAATGCTCGCCGATGTTTCCGACCAGCGTTTAGTACCTCGACCGAATGGATGTCGACCCAAATCGGAGAGCTAAATTACACCATGTGTCCACATCCGCGAGTACCGAGAGATTTGTAGGTTGAAAAAGCGAGGAAAACCGTTAGAGATGATCCCGAAAATCTAGGTCGTTTCGAGGAAAAGATAAAACACGATAAAAAAAACTTAATAAATATATCGATATGCAAAGTGTCTTCGACAATTTAGCGAATTACAATAAATAATTACAATAAATTTTCAATAACGAGAGTCTTCATTTTTTATTGCATGATATTTCAAAGTTCTCTTCAGCAAAAGTTATCTAATCACCCACTCTACTCTTGGAGGAAAGATTCATCTGTTATAATCGAAATTTTACTAGTATTTTAACTTGCAGTTTCTGTAAGCGAGGAGAAAGAAATAAGTTTCATATCTCTTAAATAAAAATGGTACGTCCCGGTTAAGAATATATTCTTGCTTTTCTCTCTTTTATCTTTAAAATTTCCCTTTCTCATTAGTGCAGAACCGTGGAAGAGTGTGCAAGTTTAACGTCAGGTAAATAGAGCCCCGAGTCCCGAAGAAAAGCGGTAATGTACAAGCAATACGGTAAATGGCGTAAGCAACCGAACCGAGCAACGCCAGGGCGCCACGTTAACCGATAATTGCGTCTTTCGTTCTTCGAGTACCACCGACGATCTCCCGCGCGACCTACCGCAACGATATATTTTGGAACGACGCGACGGTGCCACTTACACGAACGGCGCGGGCGTCCTCCATCCTACTCGGATTCCCGCGTCGACATTTGCCGCTCGTCGAACGAGACGAACCACGTCGGACCTCTTCGCTCTACCGTGGCCCGTAAAACCCTGTGAGAAAGAGCAATGCGAAACTGCATCGCCAATGTCTTGCGGCGAGACGTTGGAAACATTAGAAAGCACGATGGAAAATAGCCAAGTTTTAAGCCCATCAACGTCTATGACATATGTATTATGCAAAATGTCTCTGGTTGCCTCGCACTTTTTTTTTCCCGTCCGCAGATGGCGATGTCTTGAGTAATTTAAAGGCGATTGTTCCTTAGGAAAAAATTAATTCGCGACGCCACCAGCTTCTCCTTGCTACTTTTTAATGCTTGTCTCGAAATAACTTCTTAACTAGAACGTTTAGATTAAGATAAAGTTCTGTTCAATTAAATTTGGTTGAAGAATACCATTTTACTATTATATCTTTCTCCAACTTTTTCGCAACACAAATATTATCGTTAATATTACAGTACGTATAGAAGAATAAAAAGTTCATTTTATGCGGATTAAAATTGTATAATTAGTAATTGCATTTTTTTTCTCCTCAATAACTTTGGCTAGCTACTTCGTATGGGCATACTACTGCATCGTTTATTTATAGTGCATGTAAATTTTAGGTATTAATTACCAGCAGAGTCTGTCTCGTAATATCGCTCCACTGCTGAAACATTTTATTCATTTTGCAAAGTGTACACATAACTACGATAATGAAGTCGTATTCATATTCACTCTGTTGGGTAGTATATTTACGGTCTCGGTAACAGAGAGCAGAAACAATGCAAAAACTACGTCGGTTCGACGGTTGCAAAAACTCGATTACTTTACGTTCCACGTTGCAGCTGAAAAAAATGCCGCATTTCAGCTCGTTTGTTTTGTCCAAATATCGAATCTTTCCTTTTTAAATGAAAAACATATAAACTTCACGCAAAGCATCTAAAATGACAAGAGCATATAATAAGTAAAATGTATCCCGTTTATTTATTCGTTATTATTTCTGTTATTCATATGGATCCGAAATTCAAGAGGGATGGAAAGCACTCAGGCACCAACGAGCATCATCAGTATACTCGAAGGGTTAAAATTGGCGAGAGTCGAGCGAGAAGGACCCAGATCGCGAAACGGACCGCCACCGCGGCACCGCGCCGGTGATACTCGGCGGCACGTATGTGCGGGCGCGGATTTAGTTCGCGGTGTCGCCACGGGTCACGGCGGCGCTGCACCATCGACGAGATCCTCAGTCCGTCACGGGGTCGCGAGGGGTACGCATTGCTCTCGTCGGTTTGGTCGTACCCGGGCTCGAACGTCGCGACGCGCGAAAAGCACGCGCCGCGTGAGAGTGCCCGCCACACTGACGGTCCGGCCCGCGTTCCTTTTTTTTCCTCACTGACGCGCTTTTTAGTATAAAAAAAGAGTGTGGTGTGCTCGGTGAAATGACGGCACATTGTGGATCACGATAATCGGACGGCGATCGTGGGGTGACAGTGCGAAGGTGACAGGAGAAGGGAAGGTCACCACCGGTGAGCATTGCGGCACGAAACAGGACTTGCGACATACGCTACTGTCACTAAACGTGAGTGCTCCTTTTTCAATCGTTTATGAATGAAACTAATTTTTTGCACTTTAAACTACTATTAATTTCTGCACATAAGTCTGCAAAGTCAATACTACTTTTCTCCATTTAAGATTAACATTATTATGACTAATAAAAGTCTAATTTTTTTAACTGATTAATTAGTTAATTATTTAAGCATTTAGTTTTTATACTAAATATGCTTTTAAGAGAATACGCAGTGGCTTGTTGAAAAAAGGCAAAAAAAGATTACCATATTATTTAAAAACATGCTCCATCCTTGTATATATATAAAACCTTGCAAATTGTATGATAATATAATTGTAAGCTGTATTGATTGTGCAATAATATATTGATTAATATGACTAGCCATTTGGCTTTGCTCTAATTAGTTTAATAATATGAAAAAGATATGTTCGCATTTTCTAAAAAAATTAAGAAGAAAAAAAAAGCTAAAATTAAGAAAAGAAGAGAGTTCGTTGTGTTTTTTGCTATAGATATACGACACACGATTACATTTCTATATTAGCCTTTTTCGGATTAATAATATATTTATTAACGACAATGCAAGATGAGAAGATTTAGAATTTAATAAAAATTATTTCATAAAAAAAAGTCACATCATACGAAAAAGGTAGCTATTATTTAATCCTTCTATCTTTTAAGAAAACGTTCCAATTTTCCGGAGCAACATGAACAATCGTCGCACTCTAAGAAAAATACATAAGATTAGCAAAACTAAACGATTAATTTTTCATAAATGAATACATTAAATTTTTTTAGGGCAAATAAATTAAATGTATTTAAAGGGCAATATTCACGCGCATCATACACCCGATAATACAAGAAAAATACAAACTCGTAAATGTCAAAGAAACTCAACTGTCACCGTAACAGATCGAAGCGTGCGTTCACGTAATCCTGAACGATCACTGGCTATTGTAAACACGATGCAGTTTGCGTTCCATTATTCTACGCTCAGAGCTCGGTCAATCGCGCAGAACGTGTTGCCCTTTCAACGACAGTGGTAGCTCTCAGCAATGTCACTGATGCAGTAATCGCGTCACGCGTCTCTTTCGTCGGCGCCGCGGTTGTCGGTGCTTTCCGAGATCGCTTTGTGCCGACAATTTCTCGGCAATTGAGCAACTCCGCAGGCACGTAATTAATAATGCGGTCTTGCGAGATAGGACTGAGATAAAGCGTGCGCTTACATTATCGAGCTACCCAGCTCGGAGAGTTAAATGATCATGATAGTGACGATGCGGAAAGCCCATCCCTCTGCGTTATCCGCGATTTCATCGTGCATTATGCATAAACGCGCGACACACGCTTTCTCTATACGCCAACGAATTCACTGTACGATTCATCTCGACACATTCTAGATTTCGTTCTCGCGCCATTCATTCTCGACAGAGATTTAAAGAAAGATTTAAGTATAAAATTCTGCAGATACTGTACGGCTATTGTACTCACAAGTTCAAACCGTAAAGGTTTTTTTTTTTTAGGGTTACTTTATGAACGTTTATCGGAGGTCTACGACATATAACCACATGGGGATCTACACCACTGGTTGCTTCCACGTGATAACTAATTCTCGTCACGTAAGCTCCTGTGCGTGGTACACGTCACATTCTAGGTAGAACGGGCTCTACTACATTGGACGACGACTCGTCCAGCTGATTACTTACTGACGTTCGATCGATTCGCGATATTCTAGACCTTATTCTGATTTATTGTGCCGTATCGGAACTCGATAACAACCAATCATATATTTCTCTGAATTTTAACTCCATGTAATTAATCGGTCATAACATTTTCGCGATAAATTCACTGTGTAAATAATTAACTCGGCAATCATTTACCTGCACGTAGCGCGTTCCATCAAAATAGGTTCTCTTTGTGAACAAACGGCGAATTGTACGCAGAACCGGGCGTATATTTCGAAATTGTGTAAATAGCACGTAGTGCTTGCTCCCGTATTCATATCGGACGCGGCTACACCGCCGTTGAATAATTCTATCACTTTAATTACCAAAGTTTATAGTGCAAATCAGCATGATGGGGAATAATTAAATCTCGCGAAAGGATGAAACGTGTACTGCACTCGCTTCTCACTCGGCGTGATTCGGCAGTACTTTTCTTCGATGATGTACAGAGTTAAGCGGATTGTTGTAAATATAGCACACGTTGGACAGTGACTAAAGGCGAGAACATCAATCAGCAGTCGCGAGCCATTGTGCCCCACGAGACTGATAATAAATAGCACCTTCCGTTCTCGCCAGTTATAATTCCTCTTCCCGATCGTTCTCGTGTCTTGTCTCTCTTGTCGACGATGCCTTTTTCTCATTTTCCCCGCGCAACAACGATCGCACACGCGCGCACGCTCGTACGTCTGTATGTCTCTGTATATATAGTCTGTGCCGCGAACAGGTGTCTAACTACCGATTGCCGTTCCTACAACTATAGAGCACTCCGGCCGAGTACCTTTATTGTAGCTTTATTGTACTTCTTGCTTCCTGCAGATCGCTCGAATCCGTACAATTACACGTGAACTGCGACCGTAGGATAGTACGGTCCCACAACTCGCCTGTCTATCGATTAACCATTAGCGAAATTAATGGTACCCGTAGACAATAGAATAGCGCTATAAAGCTTAAGAAAGCGAATTAGATACGAGACACCGGTGCAGATTGCACTAGTCGCGCGCATGTTTATGTCGGTCTACGTGATCCGCTTTCAATGAAGCGATAGCAAAAAGATAATATCACTCTAAAGCTACAATTTCAATTTATTTTGTTCAGCGACGCGACGTATGTAGAAGTAATTCAGAAGATTGACAAGAAATTTTCTCGATAATTTTTCTCTACTTCTACCATCAGAGATTACATCAACTAAACATGACAATCTACCGGTAAATTACATGTTTCCAGAAATTACATCTCGACAGAGAGATATTCGGTTGACTGGACCAGTCTCATTTTATAATAGACAGAATGTTAAACAAGCGAGATGACAGTCCTCACTACTGGGAAAACTACACTTGACTATTTTATGCGTCGCGCTTCACTCGCCTCGAGAATACTGGTGCTCTCTCTCTCTCTTTCTCTTTCTCTCTCACGTGCACTTTCTACTTCAGTTTCAAACTTTAATTAAAAAGATGGAGTCGCGCAGTAAGGTCCTTCTACCTTCTGAACTAACCCTTACCCATTCCCATTTCGCGAACCACCGCTCATCCCATCCGTCAGGGACTCTCGTGTCCGAGAAGCTATTTTAATTTCATTCACGGGAAATAAACAGAGCAATGAAATTAACGAGTGAGCGTGCACGTTCGCGCGTGCCTTTAATGTATATAGTCGAACTATATATTTTTCCGGTACAAATGACACTCCCTTGACAACGGTTCATTTTCGGTTGGATACGGTAAATACGGGTGCAACCACAATGAAAGTACAAAAAGTAGCGATTAAAAATCAACTCGTTGGCGCAACGTTTTTTCATCTTGCGCGCGCCGCTTGATTAAAATTAATTGCTACGTTTTTAATTACGAAATGAAATGTAAACATTAGGACGGACATTTCCAACAGGAAACCTTCATTTCGTCCCGCGATATCTACTTCGTTTCTATGGTATTGTATTGAAAAGAGATAGGATTTTTTTATATATAATTTTATAAAATATCGGGATGGTAATATAATATATGAAATTACTTTATCGTCATCGGGCTCACAAAAGCTGACTGAACGAAAATTCGGAAAATTCTGCGGTAAGTCTTTTCGGTTGAAGAGAAGCCGACCCACTCGAGTGGATGTTCAGCAAACCGCGGGATTGAGGTGGCTGTTACCGAGGTGCACCGATCTTTGATTAAGAATTCAAGCGGAATAAGTCGAGTCTCTGCGATAAAAGGTGACCGAATTTTCGATGGCTCGATATTTTGTCTCTCAAGTTACTCCGAACAGATTAACGTAGCATTTTCTAATACATATTATTACGATTAGATTTTATAAAATTTTATAAAAGCTATGGAATTACATTAAAAATATGGAATTACATTAAAAGTTAAATTAAAGTTAGAAAATCAATAATATCATTTTGATATTAAAATTATTTCGTGTTCAAATTACTTCATATTCAATTTAATATAATATTTCTGCATTAACACACACACACGCACACATACATAAATATTTGTTTTATGTGTGCGTTAAAAAAAATTGTTATTACATTTATTTATGTGTATTTATGATTTATATCATAATTACTTTTTATTTTTTTATTGCGTTTTATTATAAAATCATTCTACTACATAAAAAGACAGTTTTACTAAAATATCAAATACAAATTTAAAAATAATTTGGTTGGACCATCAAAATAATTATGTGGATTCGAACTGATTGCTATTAATATTTTTTTACAGCATTATTCATCACTCACGCTTACGTTTCCTATATAATTATTTTGTTGGTTTAACGAAATTTAATCTGTATTTAAATTTTGAGATACTTCAGCAAAATCGTTCTATTCATGTAGTAAAAACTGATTCCAACATTATGTGAAGCTTAAGATTTCCTTTTAAAAAATAATAATAATCAGAATTGGAAAATAATGTGTTATTTGTAGCATTACTATTACTGTTACTTTTTTTTTTTGGTCACATCGTTATATCATGATTCATGAATAAAAATTATTGGAACAGTTATTAGCGATTGTATCTGTGCGGCCGCAATTATAAGGTCGGTCAGCAAGCGTGATGACACTGGGTCATCGTCGGCACGTAATCGCAATCACTCGCAATTCGCTGCAGCATTTCATGCCGGCATCATGAACCGCATCACGGCGTCATACCAAAACTTAATCTAATCTCGCACCTAGGAAATATTTATCGCATAATCAACCGATCGGCCATCGTGAAGTGCCATTGCGTGCGCCGCATCGTCACGTCGAAACGATTCATAGTGCTCGTATAATGAATAATCGACTCGTTTCGCATGCGATCACGTTCG